ATTAAACACAAGATGTAGAATATCAAAAAAATGCATTTTCTTTTGGTAAAATAAAGGAGGTGGATATAGCATTCATAAGCGTAACTGTCTATCATTATCTTATAGAGTACATTTAGTTAATAATAATAATAACTTAAAAAAATCTTTAAACAGGAATTTGTAATGTACATAGCCCTTTATTTTTATTTTTGCATTTTCTTAAACTGTTTTTAAATTTAAAATGCTCTTAAAAATCAGTATGGAAGACCATATGTTTTTTTGTTAAGAATTCAGACCTCTMTCTACGTACCATCTGCATGTATTCCATAACAACATTTACAATAAACAGTTTGAGTTGTTTGGGTTTATTTGCTATGTTTACTATTGTTATTAATAACTTTTTGAATATCATCAGTAAAATACGGTTTTTGATTAAAAAAATGTTCACGCTGAATCTCAAAAGTCCCCTTTTGAGTGTGTAGCGTGGGGTTCCTGTGGAACACGTCCCCAGGAATTGTGGGTGGGGTTTACCCGTGTATTTAGGGGCCAGACCACGTGCAGTCAGCGTGTTTGAGGTAAGACTATAGTCGGCGCGAGGCAAGAACCACGAAGAGATCAGGTTGCAAGGACGACCTTACGTGAAGGCTTCCTGTAAACCCGTGGGATCTTTTAGGGGTAAAAATACTTTATTTGGGAATCTTCTGGAAATTTGCATTTCTGCAATCTCTTAGGGTGTCGGAAAAGAAAAGAAAGAGCGCATCGATATTGATTTTCCTCTGCGTTTTGTTTTGTCATTAAATATTTGATATATTTTATCCTGGAACTGATTTAATTTAACAATATTTGATGTTAAAACTCAGTCAGGCACGCCCTTTTTTCAAGACGTACCGGATCTTTTAGGGGTCTTTTTGTAAATTTCCGACAAGCTTCCCCGTTTCTTTGACCCCGGAATATCTCCTGTTAACCTATCGTAGAGATTGTGAACAAATAAAGTCAAGTCTATACTGTGCAATTCCGTTGTTCGAAACTCGCGAGTTTATTAATTAATTTATTTTTACCATGTAAAACACTTTTGTGTTGTTACAGTCATCATTGAAATATGTCAAAACATATAACAGCGTAATATTGGGCAGATACAGGTTTATATCACAAGTAATTACGTATTAGGCCTCGGAACGTGCGATGTGAGACGCCATCGTAATTTCGTTGCTAGAATATCATTCATTTGTGTGGGTTTTATTCAWGTGAACATCTGCTTCAATGCGAGCCTAAATTCTTTAGTTCTTAGTCCATAGATCCATGGGTTGATAAATGACCCACTGTACGCAACAAGTACGCCCCACAGCCATGGATGAAGTATTTCCACCTGGTCACATGATCCTTCCTCCTGCATGSCATACATAAATGCAAAGATCAAATTCGGAGAAAAAAGAAGAAAAAACAGTCCTACTATAATAGCAGTAGTAATGGCGGCTTTCTGATTYCTTTTTGTACTAATTTTATTTGGCAAAAAATCTCTATTACATTGTCTATTTGAAGTGGATGAAATCCGTGGGAAACCTGCCGCCTGTTGATGGACGCTCTTTGACTGGCGCCGAACAGCTTTGAAGATATGAAAGTAACAAAAACTGATRATTCCRAAGGGAAAGATCACTGAAACGATCCCACCAACAGCCCACGTTATAGCTACTCCGGTTTCATCCAGAAATGGCGCAGGRAGCGCTAGAACTACTGAAAGAATCCAAACAAAAACTATGCTTCTTTGACAACGTTTCTCTGTCACCAACGTATAGTACTTCAGGGGGTGAATCACCGCAGAGTATCGGTCCATGCTCACTAGAGCCAAGCTAAAAGTGGTCGAAACCAAAGTCTGAATCCAAAAGAATTTTTCAAGTTTGGACAGCCAAACGCCACTCGGTGATACACCGAGAAGAACGGTTGAYGTGTAGAGTGGAAAAACGAACAGCCCAGCTGACAAGTCGGCAACTGAAAGCGAGCTAAGAAAAAAATTGGACACCGTTTGTAGGTTTGGAGACTTTCCTATAACTAATAGGAAAATTGAATTGCTGAAAATTGTAAAGCAAGAAAATGTTATGTTGARGAACACGTAGAAATGCAGTTCTGGAGATGAAGGCAGCCAAGTGCATTCATGTTGACTTGTTGCAGCCGTTGTGTTCAACATTTTCTCGTTTCAAAGACTTGTCGCTGAGTTTTGCTTTTTCTCTTGGTTGTTTGGGAGAGAGAGGATTTTTCTGGAAAGATCAACACAATCTTCCYTTACAATTGCTAGTGTTTTTGCCCATGAACATCGGAAAACTTATCACTGTGAGATAAATCGAGTGCAGCTGCTTCGTTGAACACTCGTTTTYACAGCAGTTAGTTCAAACTATATCAAAACGTTTGTAAGCTAAGATGTCCTTAAAATTTTGGGCACTTTCSCAGACATTTTAAACCTGTTTCCACTGTTTTCAACATAAAATTATGTTTCTTTTTTCTTGACGGGATGTGAAATCGTCATGGCGACTGCCAAAGGTTCCAGCAGAGAATGAACCAACTACTTGATGCCAATAAAAAAATCCTTGGATAATTTTCCTCACTTCAATTTGTATATCTCCTCGTTGCTTCTCTTGCTGCTAATAATTTCTTCTACAGTGTAAGGCGTTCAACACAAATTTGAGCAAATCGATTGAAAATTACGGACAAAGACATGTCAACATGGGCAAGGATTTCAGGAATATATCCCATCGATACGAGACAAGAGGTTTTTACAATTGTCGATTTGTTTTAGCAAATAAGCAAATAAACTTCACCGTTGTTCAAATAATTCATATTTCCTATGATTGCAAGTTGTGATTTCTCGAGCACGTCTGTATAGCTTGCATATGATTGGTTTGAGCAATCTAAAAAGAGGTATTTAAAGAAATAATCTTYTTCACAGTTCCCTGCGTCATCTTGAARAATAACCGTTGCTTTGCATTGAAATTAGACCACCATTGAGCGTGCAATGATAGAAACCTGTGGATAATTATCTGTAGGTGTGAAAAAAGGTTTCTATCATTGCACRCTCTCGCTTTTGATGCATAATAACGCCGATTAAACTAAAAATAAGTAATGCTTACAACATGAGCGCGCGTCCGTGTTGTATGGGATTTTACAATCTCCAGCCGAAGKCGAGAGATTGTAAACCCCATACAACACGGACGCGAATGTTGTAAATTACTTGTGAAACGTTTAGGTGTATACATYCATAATCTACTAAAAACTTTTGTGATTGAAACGGTTGTGATTTCTATTGTGTTTTCCTCATTAATTATTCATGTGTTTTACAACATCATTTAAAACTTTCATTTAATTTCCATAACTATGTTAGGTAGAGGTTAATAAGTTAAATCAAAATTAGAGATATAGCAAAAAAACAGCTGTAGTAATTCTTATTAATTTTTCACTGGAATATATCATCTATAACGTGCCATGTGGACGYCGTCGTTATTTCGATAATTTGATTATGCTTTTTATATCAACATGCATGTGAACATCTGTTTCAAGACGATCTTAAACTCCTTCGTCCGCAGTCCATAGATCCATGGGTTGATAAATGATCCACTGTAGGCCACAAGTACGCCCCACAGCCATGGATGAAGTATTTCCATTTGTTCRCAAGATCCTTCCTTCTGCATGGCATACATAAATGCAAAGATTAWATTYGGAGTGAAGAGAAGAGCAAAAAGCCCCACAATAATAGCTGTAGTAATGGCGGCTTTCTGATGTCTTYTTCGAATGATGCAGTTTGGTTGAAAAACCGCATTACATTGTTCAGTTGAGGTGACAGACTGTTGTGGTATACTAGCCTCATGGTGGTGGACGTTCTTCGACTGGCGTCGGACGGCTTTGAAGATATAAAAGTAGCAAAAACTGATGATTCCAAAGGGAAAGATCACTGCAACGATCCCACCAACAGCCCACGTTATAGCTACTCCGGTTTCATCCAGAAAWGGMGCAGGAAGTGCTAGAAYTACKGAAAGAATCCAAACAAAAACTATGCTTCTTCGACAACGTTTTTCTGTCACCAATGTATAGTACTTCAGTGGRTGTACMACYGCTGTGTATCGGTCAATGCTTACTAGAGCCAAGCTAAAAGTGGTYGAWACCAAAGTCTGAATCCAAAMGAACTTCTCCAGTATTGACAACCAAACGCCACTTGGTGATACTCCAAGGATCACGATTGCTGTGTAGAGTGGGAAGACAAACAGTCCAGCTGACAAGTCGGCAACTGAAAGCGAGCAAAGAAAGAAATTGGACASAGTTTGTAAATTTCGAGACTTGGCTATGACTAACAGAAAAATCAAATTGCTGAAAATCGTAAAGCAAGAGAATGTTATGTTGAAGAACACGTAGAAATGCAGCTCTTGAGATGATGGCTGCCAAGTRCATTCATCGTCGATGGACTGATTGGTTGCAGCTGTTGTGTTGATCATTTTCCCTCCTTTCCAAATAACATTTGTRMGATATTTTCGTTTTTACGTTTTAATTTTTCTCTTGAAATGGTCGTACTTCAATCAGAATTATCGGCCACCTGTTTCAATCAAATTCATACACAATAGATTTTTCTTTGCCAAAAATTAATTTCCGCCTCACATAGGTTCATCATCTGTCATCATTTGGCACTGTTTTTCTTGTCACTGTGCTGTAATATAATGATTATAGAACATGCAATGCTGGGAATTTTTAAACACAAGCATGTGCTTTATAAAGAATGAACTGTTGAAGCTGTTTCCTTGGTCTGTTATTTTCCAATATCGCTTACAGTGAGCGATGCACTTAATTGTTCGCTGTTTCTCTTGATGTTTTTTAGGAGGGAATTTTTTTCTTGGGATCTTTTTAAGATCTTAAAGGAAAAGAAGTGTCCATAAATATTCCAACTAAAGCCACACTCTGTGATACGTAGATGAATCGACTGGAGGTGCTACGCTGAGGATTTTCTCGATAGTTTTCCACAAGATCCGTCAGATCAGAATCCAATTTGCTCTAATGGTCAAACCGTTTGTACCCAATAAAACAGATCCAAATGAGTTCCAAGAAATCAATCAAATATAAATCAATCATGAACATGAAATTATGATGTGTTCCGGTACCAACATAGAGTTTTCAGTTCTTCGCTTCTACTGTTCCAAATAGCTCCTGCAAAGGCTATCGAATTAAACGATGTCAAGTATTTAAATGTCGAAAAACATTTATTCTTATGAGTTGCAATACGTACCTTATATAATTAAGTCTCTCCAAAAATCGCAATCCAGAAAGAGTCGAGCAAGAGTTACAATTAGACCTTTCAACATTGACAAGGATTCTAAAGAGTGACATCCCCTCAAGAGACGACAAGAGATTTAGCAAATGTTGGTTTATTTTAATTATGCAAATAAACTTCTCCGTTGCTCAAACAAGTCGTGTTCATTGTGATTACTAGAGARCATTCACCTGCCATCGGCTCTTAAATCAAAGAATTATTTACTGTGCCTTTCACTAGAAAATTTCCGTAGTAATATGTAATAAATATGGGCAAAAACTTGTACAAATACATAAAATGCAAATTGCAGTAGCCATTCCCATTCAATKGGAATCAGTGGCTGTGATCGTTTGAAATCTCTGTARATKTTTGAGTACCGCATAAAATATTTCGACATCTAGATTTTCAATGACCARTTATGSATACATGGCCGCCTTCACCTTYTAGAAATGCTAGTTTATKATCAGTTTTATGAAATTTACAATAGTCATTCCCATACTATGGGATTTTCCTGTGATCCTTTCAGATCTTTGTATAATTTTCAATATCACGTAAAATCTCTCCTTATCTAGGGTTTCAATAGACCCATTATGGATATATTGTTGGCTTCATCTTCTAGAAATTGTTGTGTATTGTCAGTTACATGAAATTTGCAATTTCCATTTCCATAGTATGGCAATTCTTATATGATGTTGTATAAGTCTATGTCAATTTTTGAGTTACGATCCCATATAATCTCTTCATATCTAGATTTTTATTACATTATTTATTCACCATTTAGAAATGTGGGTCTTATATCGATAATATCAAATTTACAGCTATTTCCGATTTTGTTTTGATCCTGTAAAATCTGTATAAATTTTTGAGCCTTAGATCACGTAAAATCTCGTCATATCTAGATTTTGAAATTGTAAAAATATTATAATAATAATTGAAAAGAAACTTTATAGATAGCATCGAACACCTGACAGTACAATGTCACCAACAAATAAAATCATATCTTTAAATTAATGTTTGTTTTGATGTTTTTATTGAAGATAAATTAGGTTATGAAATATAAAAGAAAATCTTATTTTTTTCTTATTTTAACCAAAATAAACATGATTCAGTTCGTTCAAGATTGTATGGAATTCAGTGTGTTTGACAACATGGAGTGATTTGTTAATACACCTATTTCAAACAACTTTGTCGGGGTGAGTGGCGATTGTCGAGGGGAAAATGCACGGCCGAAAGGGACTATGGTTACACTGTTTTTACAAACAAAGTTCACTTATTGGATTCATCTTACATAGAAATGGAGACTAAATGAACCAAAGTTCACCACAGACTTACAATATAAGTCACTGTTGTTATTTTTCATCAATTAGCAAAAAAACCATGGCTACTTGACAATTGATATTCGCCATTTTATCCGACAACCTTTTTWAAAATAGGCTTATTTATCTGAGAGATAAACTTTACATAGTGTATGGTATCAACTGCATGGTGCGTTGTTTAAATGCGTTGCTTAATCAGTTGTCTTCTCGGTAAGGTTTTTGTTTGACTTTTTTAAGTAAATTCATTAATTCTTAAGCGCTTCTACAAACAAGCGAATGGTACTATTTGTTCTTGAAGGACAAGTCACTTTGACCAAACAAACAATGTAGTTCGTTGTTGGACATATGTAAACAATTGAGCTGCAACATTGACAATGTCGTAAAATACATTCGTGGTYGAAGCTCTATTTTGATAAAATGGAAGGTTAAGAGCAATAAATCTAAATACCAATCACGGAAGCCATTTTGAATTCAGGCAAAATGTTGTCATGGAAGACAGAAAAAATTCTTCTAATAATATAGCAGTTTAATGCATTTTTGGATTGTTGCTTCTTGAAAATAACTTTTGCTTCCTATCCTTACAACTGTTCATATATAAAACTGTATTTATTCATCGAATGCATTCAATAAAAAATGTCGTTATTATTTGATTATCTCCAACAAATCTACATGCGTATCTCGAGTGCTGACAGGTGGTGTAGCCGTAAATTTTCAGGAATTTTGTCAAATACATAAAATTCTGACTACACTAGATACGAACATCCATGGTATGTCTTTATTAGGATTTCTTAATTCGGCAGTCAGGAGTGATATGACAAACGAAACTACCAGCATATCGTACATTATATACACTATTACAGGGGAACCTACAGACCTAGTTGATGCAAGACTGCCAGATACGAAAATCGAACGGCTAACTGAAACCACGTAAAAACCACCCTGGGGTTGTGAAGAAAAAAACTTGGAAACCTGAGGAAATGTACCCCCTGACTTCGTGCAGACTTACAGTGCAACAACAGCGCGAGGGGAGCGTTATACATGACAACAAAGAGCCAACTATGAACAATTAAATTTCTTTACCATTCTCACATTCGATCACCTCCCTTATTTTTCTGTTTTTAAAGATACTTCTTTTTCCCGTTAAAAGCGAAGCCGCTGCTTTAGTTGACAACAGTCTCTTACCAAACAAAAGAAAGCACGAAAAAATGTTGTCATTACAATACCTATACAAATATGCATTTTCTCCGATTTGAAGCTAAGCCTGTATTCCCAAAAACCTAACTCTAGGTCTTGTGGGAATACAGGCTTAGCCCCTATTTGGAGAAAATTGAGAGATGCGATGCCGGGTCCAGTGGTTAAGGTATTGGACTTCGGGTCGAAAGGCCTGGGTTTGATTCCCAGCCGGCGATCACGTGTGTTCTTGGGAAAGACACTTAAACTCTCTCGGTGCCTCGTCCTCTTCTCAGAAAAGGACGTAAAGCCGGAGGTCCCGTCTCTCTACACTTCTCATTAGCAGCGGATTGACGTAAAAGAGCCCACACCACCCATTCGACTAAGAGTAAGTCACGCAGTTCCCGTAGGTATCGAGAGGACTCATCTCACCACCACTGAGGACGGCTTGGCGTAGTGTTAGTATAAAACACATACTAATACAGCTAAGTAACCCAATGAATGTTGCCAAGTGCTGCAACTATGTAGATTTAGTATAAACAAACTAATGGTCTATCACTCATACTGCGCTTGGCTACTCACTCATACTGTGATTGGCTACTCTACTAATGGTCTAATTTGTGATAGACCACTCGCGGGAAAATCAAAATGGCGGCATTTCATTAATAAATTATTTTAAGGATATTTCAATTTGTTTTCATTATTTGAGCGAATAGTATGTTTTTAATCGGACTCGTGGACTACGAGCTAATAGCCCATTCGGCCTCGCGGACTCGGCCTCATGGGCTATTAGCTCGTAGTCCACTCGACCTCGAGGTCTAATTGTTAAGTAGAATTTAAATCGCATCCAATAGTGTATTATAATGGTACATAAAAGCATATAAMTCCTTTTACTCATTGTTATGCTGTACCAGAAAGCTATAAGGGACTTGAAACGTGTAACGCCCGTACATTTCTTTAGTACCAAGCGTCGGARTATTCAAAGCTCATTAAAAATTCGAAAACGAACGTTATRACCATATTTGGAAAAATCGGCCGTTGGAYATGTAAGAGATTTAAGGCCTGTTCTGGTTGGCTATAGGGTAAATTTAATTGTTCCAACTAAGGAAATGAGGTGCAAATTAGATTTGAATATTCCAACRGTTGGAACGGCGTTACACGTTTCATGTCCCTTATGGCTGTACATCAATGTTTTTCTCGAGGGATATTCACTGGTTCCAAATCAAATTAAATAGAGAACCAATAAAATGGATTCAACCAACGACTAATTTGTATAACTAAACATACGATTCCGAGTTCAATTTGGAAATAATTTGAGAAACTCACGAATACATTTTTTTTTTTCAAATTGAACGAGAAATCGCGTATGGTTATACATGAAAAAATTGCGACCAAACTTGCGTCSTTTTTGTTGTGGCAACGCGCGCTTCTTGTTTCCCGCCGGAACTTTTCAAGAACTACGTAAACTGACTTTGGTTTCAGTAGAAAAAGTCATGACTTCAACGGTTTTTTTTTAGGAAAATCTAAACACAATTTAGACTTAAAAGCTGTCAGTTGTTCAAAGAAACTGGCAGTTGGCAAACAACTTACTGTAAGATTGTAACTTTTATTCCTCCCTCTACATAACATCAGCGTTTTCATTTCTATTACTACAGCTACTTCTGCATCTTGAGCAGTTTTTATTTATGTTGACTCTATCGACGTCGTTCTGTCTCTCTCCCTCAGATTTTGTTCCATAAATTTTACAGCCTTTGTGTACTTCCACACAAAGTATTTTTTTAGAGAAATTCCTTTTACTATTTGTAATCAGTTGTTTTAGGAAACCTAGTAATGGTGGACATTTTCAGCGAACAAACACCGCAAATTTTCTTCAATTTATAGACAATTTTTTTTTCGAACAAATACCGATTTATGATTAAAGTTTTTTTTAATTGTTTCTTACCCAATTAGCRTCTAGCAATACTTGCACAGGATTACCTGCGAACAGATGGCATTATCCAATTATGGACTTTAAAATAAATGATGTTTTGATACGTTATTTTCTATTAACTGCAACTCATATCACACTCTTCTGGACAAAGTCATGATGACTCCTATGTCAGTCGTCCTCGCCGCTTGCTTCTTGTCAAT